TTTCCTTTCCATGAAACAAGTTGAATGGAAACATCGTGCTGAAATGTGTTAAGACTCTTACTTAGACTGGTGATATTGATAGTTTATAGTTGATAGTTAAGCAGCTTGACTCCTGAGAGTTTCTAGGGCTTCGGTCCTGCCAGGCCCCACACTGAAGCACATGTACCACATGTGGTGTCTCCTAAGTGACTTTGTTCGAAATGTGCCTCTGTTCACCCAGCAGTGAGTAGGTAGGATGAGTGAGTGAGTGAGTATGGTTTTACGCCCCTTTCAGCAATATTCCAGCAATATCACGACGGGGGACACCAGAAATGGGCTTCACGCATTGTACCCATGTCGGGGATCGAACCGGGGTCTTCGGCGTGACGAGCGAACGCTTTAACCACTAGGCTACCCGACCGCCCCGTAAGTAGGATGAGCTGGTAATGTAGCTGTCAAGCGCCTCACAGATAGCTTGGCTAATCCCCATGGACCTGAGAATGAAAATCGATTGCTCGCTAATCCATTGACCGGGGTAATAACAGTGAAGCGCTATGAACATACACTTGGTGAATCTGGTGCACTATTAATGCACTTATTATTAATTATTATATGCATATCACGTATCAGGTTTTATACTTGAATGGCTTTCACATGTGTTCGGGCGAAAGAGCAGGTGTTCCACGTTAATATCTCATTTACAAAACACTCAAAGGAAACGTCACTTAATTAAATGAAACAGTAAACCGGGGGAGCTGAAAAAAGTCAGTTTTCTACTGGGACAAACACCAGTCTTAGCTTCACATTCAGAACACACGACAGGCTGTGCTTGAGTTCGTCGTTGTAAACTATAGTCTGGAAGGTACGTTGAGACGCCGAACGCTAACACCGTATTCGTGCGTGCGTGATTCCCGTGTAACCTTTCGAGTTGAGTTGATTGGTTCAACTGCGTCATATGGCCCTGTGACGCAGGTGTAGCATTATGCAGATGGCTGTTTCAATGAATGCTCGTTCCGCCCGTGACGAACAGGTCTGGTTGTTGATGAAATATAGTGATAGCTAAATAGACAGATTATTCATACACCGATTGTCTTTAAATGTAATATCCAGTTATGTATGACTGTTTAATAATCTCATACCATCTTTGACTGGAGTAGGTCCGATAGTTTTTCAGATATTGTAGTAAACGTCGGTACCTTAAAAGGACCCGTGAAGATTCCGGGGTAGAATAGGTCTTCAGCAACCCATGCTTGCCGTAAAAGGCGACTATGCTTGTCGTAAAAGGCGACTAACGGGATCGGGTTGTCAGGCTCGCTGACTTGGTTGATACATGTCATCGATCCCAATTGTGTGGATCGATACTCACGATGTCAATCACTGGATTGTCTGGTCCAGACTTGATTTTTTTACAGACCGCCGTCATATAGCTAGAATATTGCTGAGTGCGGCGTTAAACAACAAACAAACGAACCAATTAAATTACCTTCTAGGCTATACATACCTGGAGGGTTGGGGATAACAGCTTTAGTTCACAGTTTACAATGCCAGAAACGAATAACATTTGATATTATTTACTGCAGTAATGGGAATTCACTGCATAAGTCTAGTGCTAGGGTGAGGGAAGGGTGAACTGTATTCACTAAAACATTCTGTCAGGCTACGAACTGTTTTCACTGAGAGGTTCTGTCTAGTGTAGATCATGTTAGGATGCACGTTATGCACTGAAGGATCTTGCCATGACCAGATTAGAGCAAACTATATTCATTGTGTGATTTCGTTGTGTGTAGACTTGTAGGACGCACTGTTCTCGAGGAAGGGTACTGTCTAGTTTAGGCCAAGGCAGGGCGTACTACATTCAGCGAATCTCACCAGTGAGACCAGATTGCCCTGATCAAAGGGTAGATCGCTCTACAATTGTTGATGTTGTTCCTTATGTTTACACCGCCTCCTTGGTCTAGTGGTAGAGCGTCCGCCCGGAGAGCGGAAGGTTCGAGGTTCGATCCCCGGCCGCGTCATACCAAAACGTTAAAAGATGGTACTTGTTGTAGCCCTGTCTTGCGCTCGGCATTAAGGGAATAAAACAAGGACTGGTCGGCTCGGAGTCAGTATACTGTGTCTGAGTGGGGTATTTATGTTCAACTGCGGCATGGTATCTCATTGAGCTATCACTATAAATCGGCATCAGTCCGGACTAGTACAATAAGCCACACAAACACAAACACGTACATGCACGTCGCTATATAAGTGCAACAATCTTGGACGCGACGTCAAACCCAATTTCACCTCACCTCACCAATTGTCTCCTGCTATTGTAATAAGTTTGCATTAATTTGTATTGATTTATAAACCTAGTTTTATAATACATTAACTTGACATTTTAGAAATATACATGATCTTTCTACTGGCCAAACTGACATCGTCTTTTGCTGGTTACCAAGTCATGTTGGCATAAAAGGTAACTCAAAGCCGATGCTGCAGCTAAATCAGCTCTTGAGAAACCGTAATCTCCACTACAGTGATTTCAAACCAACCATCAACCATGCAAAAGAGGTGGGACACCCAGGGAGGAATCAATAAACTTCGCGAATTTACACCAACAATTGGTCAAGCCTCCTTGGGTTGTCAGTCAAAACATGATGAGGTCGTTTTAAGACGATGTCGTATTGGTCACAGTCGGTTTACTCACGAATATCTGCTTAAAACAGATGAGGACGAACCTCCTAAGTGTATTCCTTGCGATGAAAGGTTCACTGTCAAGCATATGTTGTTTCACTGTATTGCTGTACTGTGTCACATGTTTTGGAGGTTTACATACAACACACAAAGATTTTCGTCTGTACTGCATTTTATGAACGTATTAGCGCACAGTATCACATATGCTTAGTTAATCGAAACACAAAAACTTCATTATGCACGTATGGTGTCATTACGTTTAATACAACCAAATTTAATGGCACATTAATTAATGGAGGTTTAATGACAATTTAGTGTTGTCATTAAGGTTGGACACAAACGGGCCGGGTAAAAGTAAAGCACTGCTTATGCAAAGATTGCCAGACAAAAGCTTGCGAGGTGTTAAGTCCTTGTTCTAAAAGTGATCGAAATAATTCACAAAGTGACCCAGGCGCAAACTGGGAAGGCAATAACATGTCACAAGAAGGCCTGACATGTCAGATACCAAGGTTAAGAGATTTGATCTGTTGAAAGATACTAGCTATCTTTTGTGCAAGACAATATTGTAATACAATTTTATTCAAGCATTATAGCAGATTAAATAACATTGCAATAATCTTGTTTCATGGGTGATAATTGTCCATCATTTTACCCTGAAAATAAGGCGGGTCGTACGTGTAAGTCATGGATTGTGCTTTTCTGGTGGGGTTTTGAAATTTGTCCTTATCGGAGCTCTGCATTTCAAATCACAAATAAATAACTGTTACTTAATATATTATTTTATTTAAGGAATGACTATGTATTTCTTCGGTTCATTGAGGTATGAATAGAAAAACTGATGTGAAAACTGTATGGATCCGCATAGCAGATTCTTACAAAAGTAAGAGTAGCCTCAAATGAACCAAAACAAATGCACAGTTAATGCTCATAATTAAATTCGACAACGTAAAACATGTTTTATCTACAATAGTTTAACCAAAAACAGTTGTATATATCAAAGCAGACAAAAATGACGAGATTGATAAACATTCCAGGTGTAGGAACACATACTGTGGCGTGACATGAATAAGGTGATCGATTAATTTATGCACATAACTTGACAGGCCTACACAGTGAGTAGCCAATCATCGGAGTGTAGGATCAAAACAATGTTCATTGGACCTGTCAATTAAGTCAAGAGGCGAAAAGAACGGCAACAGTCAGACTGTAACGAACCGGAAGAAATATGCCCGGGAGAAGGCGGCTGTTTCAAATAACATGGTCAGTTAACGCCAGATTAAAAAATTACTTCCCTGATTATGGTAAAAACAGTTTGAAAATTGCTAGTTTGAAATGAAACCCGAAGACATGAAAGTTGAACCGAGGCGAGCGGGAAAAAACAGGCGAGCGAGCCTGCATATTTGCTGTTTCATTCTTTTTCGGCCTTCAATTTCAAAGGGTAGTTTGGACAATGATTATGCATGAACGTCGATAAATGTCCCGCGCATGACGGTGCACGTGAGCAGAAAGGGAATTGGGAAATGAATGCAATAACACGTGACATATTCAGTTAATCAGAATGCAGGAATTTCAATGAACACACAAAATTTAATAATACAGGTGTTGTGGGGTAAATACAATGTACGTTGTCATGTGCCATGTGCTTCCTGAACTAACTTTTTGTCACAGTTTACAAATCTCTAAAGGTAGTACCTACATTGTATATGTTGAAATCCAATCCAATCAAACATTCTACTGAAGGACATTTGCTTTGACAAACTGTTGAAAATGGGAATGGTTGCCATGGTAATCTGTTGAACGAGGGTACGGTTCTGTGACTTGTCTCATTTCATTAATAATAAATAAAGCGAGAAAGCCCTTTTCTATATCCAATAGAGTCGATTGTACAATTCCGACTATATCAAGAGCATGTGTTTATGAATCACTATCAAATAGTAATGATACCAGGTATTCGTAAAAATGTGAGCATATCCTTCCCCATCACAAACACATGCAAAGGCAAGTCAATTGTTCACCTAAAAAAACATGGGAATAAATGTCCTCCATATGTCTACCATAAAACTTTTTCAAAGCTTTACTGAGACCTTGGTTGTTGTAACTCTTGTAAATCTTCGTAGAAAGAGCATGCTCGTTTGTATCTCAAAAGTTACAAAATGTAAACACCAAAGGCTGGAGCTGCTGGACTATTGCTCGATATGAAGGGAAAGTTGACTATTGGAAGTTGAAGTCATCCCTCTTGCCATACAGTCTTGTGGAGAGTGTTTTGTCACTCTGAATATTTATGCATAGATCTAAATTTGAAACAGATGAGGCGGTCTCACTGATCTCCTTTATTTCTAGTTTAGGTTGGAAAATCAGTGGAAGGAAATTGGCTATTTGATTGTTATTGAACGATATAAAAAATATGTTGTGTCATCAATTTTTTTGTCTTAAGGTGGGACGAGGCACACGTTTACTTGAAAAAAAACCCTCTAAGATAGAATTAAACAAATACTGCAATTCGCATTGAGTTTCACAAAGCTTTGAGAAATGTTTAGGTTATAACAACCTGTCAGATTTCAGGGAGCCTGAGTCCCAAGATATGCAGGTCTTAGATGTTTACGACGTAAGGTAAACCTACGAGATCGAGAATGGTGCTGACGACCCACTTTAAATTAGGAATTGGATTCTCACCCATGACCAGCTAATATTGGCACGGCTGAAAGAATTCTCACGGTGTTGATTTGTGGCAACATAGGAAAGAAAGGTAACTTCATTAATTTATTCCGCTTATATGAATAATGTTATTTGGTAGAAGTTTCTCGAAGACTGACTGTACTTATGTAAGAGCGAGATAAGGGGGCGATTCGAGGCCTCCCTTGTTTTACCTCACCGCATATATTTTCCAAGTGCGACGGACAGGACAGGTTTGCTGGATTCAAGAACGGATCACGTACCTTATTCAAGACTTTCATTGTGACAAATACTTTTGTTATTCGACTTATTATGCATTGCTGCTGTTTCATATTTGAGCAATTGTATTGTCTGTTATGATTGGAAATCTAATCCTGTGTATTGCAACATAAAATGTTGATTGTTCATTGATCTTGAGTGGTCACAATAAAGTTCTGCACACAACGATTCCTGGGTTAACCTTCGCGTTTCAACCCGTAACAACAGAAAATGTCCCTTTTCATGCACAATGTGAACACATAATCATTATGGATATTTAATGTCATCTCAAGATATTGAAACATAATAACATACAAGCAGCTCTTGCATTTTACAAAGAAAGGAGTAAATATTCTTGCATAATTAGGTACGCCTTGAAACTGGACAGAAACGTTGCGGAAGCCTATAAAGAATCACAGCAACACTTTTCACGCATTCATCCTAAGCAGGTACGTGCCGTCATTGTTAATTAAAATGATAACGTCATTTCAGAATAATGAGCTTTTATTTGTGTTTACTTTTGTTTCCACAACAAAATGATATTTTTGTCGGTGTAAATATTGTATTGAACAGCCATGTGACTAATTGCGCTAATAATTTGGAAACATTCGGATTACATGCTCTCTTTAATCTATTACAAAAGGAAGTAAGTGCTTCTCTTGTCTCCCTATACATATGCACAGTGTCTGCTCGGCACTCTGTAATGTTCGACTATTAAGAAAACAAAATGAAGCAACATATGTTTACAAGCTTCATCATTTTCATTATTTTTAAGGTGTTACATGATGCATGTTACAGCCTAATGCAGTGTTCTGTCAAATCTTTCCTGTTGAAGGTCTGTTTCATTTTGGTACAAGTTTGAAATATATGCACACTGTCGTACTGTTATATGGTGTAGTCGAATGTACTATGGTGGTGTATTATTTAGTGTTGGTGCTCAAATGTTCACAAAGGTATGGATGCGAATCAATGAGAAATGATATAGCTTTAACATTAACTAAAACGAATGTTTTCACCTTTGCTATTATCATATAACTAAACTTCTTCTCATTGAATTATCTGGTGATGTGTCTGATGAGTTCGTAAATGGACAAGTGGCTATATGCTATGTGTATGCCAATGTTATTAACATTTGCCCAAAGCAATATCTATATCCCACAGGAAAACACCGCCTTTGCGATACATTTAAGTAGACCTGCAGTTTCATCTAGGGAACAATTTGACCAGTAAATAAAGATAAGTAGGACCATTAACAGTTAGTGGGAGAGCGGAAATTAGAACGGACTCCCTTGACCAGGCATAAAGGTTTACATTCAATTAGACCAACGTTGGATATAATCATTCCTATCCCTCGGGAAAGAACTGGTTACAGGTTTACATACTGCCTGATAAGCTCTAAGGTCAGATGTCCTTTTGAAAGAATGTAGAGTTAGAGCTAAATAGCATCACTAGGACACACCCTAATTACTAGCTGTTGCACAGCAAGAATATAGCCAGCTCAAGGGAGGTTCCGTTTCACACGTCTTCGTGTTTGTCCGCGACTGAAGTGATGGGTTGAAGGGCCTCACTATGTGGGGCCTCAGTCAAATTCTCTTTGCGCCATTCGTTACTCGGTTCCATTGAATTTGTCAATTTCTGAAACATTGTGTCGTGTATGTAAAGTAAATTGGTTGTCATGCTACAAGGCCCATTTGGTTAACAAAAATAAAGAATGTTAATGGATGAGTCAACATTTTAAAGCGTGTTTGTTCTAGATATAGCAATACTATTCTGTGACATTTTAAAATTAAGATAACTTTTTTAGTTAAATGTTCCATCTTTGTGGCATTATTCTAATCATAGGTTTTGTTCATACTGACCTCTTTCAGATTGTCTCCCTTTGTATTCCATACTTTCCAGACGAACACAGCTGGGAAGGGCAGGATTGAAGCCAGAGACACCATCCATCCGACTCCTGTGGCCCATGGAGGGTAGTCATAGTCTCCATACTTGGGGGGTCGGTAGGAATACAGGGAGTAGCAGAACACAGACTGTTGTAAATACAAACTGATAATCAAGAGGTGTTTCCCTTTCGAATATTATCCAAGGAATTTGGAGAGTAAAATATGGAATTTATCGCCTATCGGCGTATTGCTACATTACGATACAAACTGACACAATGCCAGGTATGTAACATGCAGGTACACGGTTCACTAAAGACGATATTCATAAACTTGTATGGTACCATTAGGAATGAATTTTCTCAAATCCCGTTCCATCTGCTATAGACAATGTAATGTCATGTAATAAGCACTAAATATTTATTTGGGGTGACTTATTTCTGTGCTACGAATATTCTACTGGCGGTAATTCAGATTGAGAGGCAATTGTTGAGTGGGAAAACATAATAGTTTGGTGTCCGTTAAACGATTGAAATAGTCTTGTGATGACTTACCAGCAACAACACTGGACACACAAACTTGATGGCAATCATCATCACACGAGGGGTAGTCTTTCCCCACATTGTCTTGATGTCTTTCTCCAATCTATGTGTACCTTTTTTTATACAGGAATGGTGAGAACAATGGTAACAGTCCAAACAGTGGGACAATAAAAACAATAGTAAGAGAAGCAAAAATCATAATATTTTGTTTGTTGTTGAACGCCGCACTCAACAATGTCATAATAACGAACACTGCGGTAACGGAGATAACAATAAGAACAATGGAAATAGTAGGGATAGTGAAACTAGAGCAATCGATATTGCAGCTACTTGATAACGCCCTGTAAATAGTCTGGATTAGACAGTCCAGTAATCGATATTGTGAGACGGGGATATGCCGTTTGGCAGCAATAACACGGATTCATCATACCTGACCACCCCATCCATTTGGTTGCCTCTTACGCCAGCGGGGGCACGGGTGGCCCAGTCGTCTAAGGCGCCGCGATTCGCTGTGCAGAGTTGCGTCACTTGGGCACGCCAGAAACCTTTGATTGTGGGTTCGAATCCCGGTTCGCCCCAATTATGTTTCTAGGTTTGTCAGCACCATACCCGTGCTCGTGGGTTTCACCGAAGTGAAATCAGTAAGTTCAGCATGAACACAAGGGACAGTAACTTAAGTAGGAACAGAACACATTATATGATATTTACCATAGCACCATCCTACCACAATGCATTCAATGGTAGCAAAGAGAGCAATTGATGGAAAGTAGGAGAACCAGTCCACCAGTGTCAGCACGTATATCCCGCCCTGGAAAAATGATAACGAAAGTTTGCTACACGTGATAGATTGACTAAACGGAACAGGTAACATCTGAAAACATGTAGGATTACAAATATATGTGCCAGCCACATCCATCTCGTAAAGTATCAAAGAATAGGTCTAGGTAAAGCAGACTAATCTAACTATACATACAGGCGTTTGGGGAGTATGAACCATTTTCTACATTTTGACTGCTGGAGGTACACACACAGAAATAATGTTAAGTAGTAATCCATTAAAAATTACTTTCTTCTTTTGGTAAAGTAATGCCATATATGATCTGTAAAGGAACCTGATTTACCTGAAATTGAAATCATAAACGGTTTCATGCACATCATCTGAGCCAGCGAACTGAATGCTACTTGTGTATACCTGGGTAACATAGATCAGACCAAAGAGAAAGTAGGTCGTCAATAAGATACCGATGACAAGCCAGCGTCGCTCGGAAAATCGTGGGAAGCGATCTCTAACAGCCACCACAATGTTCTCAATGGGTGGAACCTGGAAAACAGTAACAGAATCAAAAGTAGAACCTACCGCATACCATGCTAGTTATGATATGCTTGATGTTCGGTTTACCTACCCTTATAACCAAAGCAAATAATAAACTTGCAGCAACCCATCCCACGCCCTCTCTAACCCCCGCCCTCATCCCCAACCCCCGCCCCCAAGCCTCAGGAATTACTGGACATAGAAATCTCGTCATTTTTAGTTTCTCATTTACACTTGGGAAATACACACTGCAAATGGTAGATTCTCTTATTATTATAATTGTTTGAAATCAATACGTTGATCCATCTATGATCTCATTTGGCTTCAATCGTAGCAGCTTAGTATTTCGAGCTCTAAATCTGTATGTTACCAGAGTATCCAGTTCAAGGGTGATCAGCGTAAGAAAGGTCAAAGCCGACCACAACTGCGGCAATGGGAGGTAAGTCAGGACTTGTGGAAAAACGATAAATGCAAGGTTGAATCCTGAAAGAAAGAAAGCGTGGTTGTACAATACATATTCATTGCAGAATGACTAGAAACTGTGGACAGAACAGACACAGTTGCAGTTATCAATACATCCACTAATATACATTTTTCTACTGATATGCCAATCAAATACACAAGGAAAAGGTTTACTATTTTCAACTCACCTCTAAGAAAATAAGTTAACGTTTTACTTGCACTTGAAGGTGTGTTAAGTGGTTCGGTAATTACCTGACGATTCAAATGCTTCGATAGGCACCCCTCTCTGGTAGCCAACATGACCAATGATTGCAAAAAAGGCAAACCCAATGAGGATTGTAACTAGCATGTCTCCAATGCAGACGACTATGGCATCCCTGTTGTAACGAAAACATGAGGATACAATAACACGATTACTTCAGTTACTTCCTAAAATTACCATGTCAGACTAATGTAACAATACTATAGAAGTGGAAGAGTACTGGAAGGGTAAAGAAACTGAACTGAGAAGAAGACAGTTGTGTTTACTCACTCAATATGAGCAAAATATCCTGTAATTGATTTATTCTTAAAGTTGTAGTTTTACAGGGTATTGAATATCAGTCCCAGAGAAATTCTGCGGCTAATAGTACAACATTCTGTAGTAAAAAATACCCATGTCACCCTAAATGTTTATACAAACACATTTTTCGAAAACCCGAATCCAAATCCGAAACGAAATAATAAGACAAACTGTCATTATAAACAGTTATCACTGGATAAGACATACAGTTATGCAAATAACTATACATACTGTCACTGATATTTATCTATTTTGACATGTAGACATGGTTTATGTAGTAATAATACCACATGTACAAGAGTGAGTGAATGAGTGAGTTACAACTTAACGTCGCATCGGTATTATTTCAGCCATATAGCGACGAAACCAAGTTGATATAAACACAATTGATTCATGGATACATAATGATATTTAAAAACAATATATCGAACATATTTGGGCATAACGATATCCTTTATACAGTTTTAAAAAACAGGTTATAGGCCACCAGTAACCAAAGCAAGGCCACCTGCCAGGAGATCATTGGGACTTACGGTACCTCGGCTTTCTTCACGATACCCCAGCAGGATTTACGCTATCACTTTAGCCACTGGTGTTTGTGCACAATGAAGAACGTTTACAGGTCAAAATTATTCATCTCAAATTTCGTTTTATTGTAGGATTCATATTTGGAATGTTTGAATCGCATGTTACATATTTGGGCATCATTCGGTAGAAAGTCTTGAAAATAATTCAAAATTTATATTGATGGATAACAAAAGGCAAATTCCACGAATTGTCATCAGTTCTGCTGTAAGAAATGAAATCGTCTGGGACTGGGATATATATTGGTCACATTACTAACCTGAAACAGTTATTTCCAAATCTACTGTGGCTTGATAATGTGACGATTGATCCCATTGCTATTCCAAGAGAGTACAGGGCGAAGTTACACCCCTCAATCCATACCTGGGCATAAAATAATACATACTACACCACAAGACGGCATTACATTACATTCGTATGACAGGAGCTCTGTCATGAGGCCTCAGTGAACACGCACTTAGTTTTTAACGCAAATGGTGAGGATGGCGGTTGCTACTGGTTGAGCAGGACATATTTACCCTTTTCGTGATCACCAGGTATCATTACCGACTTGAGGTGATCCATTCATATAATTGTCAACACTATTTTGCCTAATCTGTTTCGGTAAATCACCGAGACTGATTATACCCTGGCGTTGACGTGATATATTTTGTGTAACAGGCGCCAGTCACCAGAGCCGTCCCGAAAGGCCATGTACGTAATGGTAGCCATTATTAAAGGACACGTTTACGCTCTTAGCATTTGGCACCGTAATAAGTTATGACTATAATATTGATTGTATAATTCATTTGTCGCTATTGTTTAAGATTGTGTTTGTTTGTTTGTTGTTCAACGCCGCACTCAGCAATATTCCATCTATATGACGGTGGTCTGTAAATAATCGACCAGACAATCCAGTGATTGATATAATGAACATCGATCTGCGCAATTGGGATACGATGACATTCTTCAACCAAGTCAGCGAGCCTGACTACCCGATCCTGTAAGTCGCCTCTTACAATCATAGTCGTAACATGGGTTGCTGAAGACCTATTCTACCACGGATCTTCACGGGTAGACGTGAAATTCGGAAATATGAAATATCATGTTAATGTGTTTTCTATGTAAAAAATAACTAACTCTTTCCAGTCTTCTTTTTTCATACATCGGATGGGACAGGCTGATATTACTTACTTCTTTAAAATATTGAGTGGTTTACATGACACACCGAAGCTGACTGACAAATATGGTGTTAAGGTTTATGAAATGCATTATTTGCCTTGTTTAAATATTTATGAAAAACATTAATTTGCCTTATTCGTAACAACTTTTGTGCCACATACATCGATACGAAAGAGATCTTTACCTTAGGTCTTGTTAGTGTCTCAAGTTTAGGAACGATATAGAAATATATTCCATCTGCTGATCCCGGCAACAGACATCCCCGGATGAGGAAGACGGTCACAAGAATGCAGGGTATGGCCACCGTCACGTACACAAGCTGAAACACATTTTATTGTGACTGTAATGCACTTCTTTAACAAATACAATGCCATACAGCTCATACACTTTCTCCGTGACGTTTTCAATGACACGTATCTTTAATATAGAAATACGTATGCCAATGCAAGACCAATCTTCATAACAATCACATAACAACTTCACTACTGGACATTGATTTAACTCGGTAATGTTTTTGAATACATCACTGCGTCACGAAAATTTAATGGAAAATTAAAAGATTGTTAATGTACCTTTCCTGTTACTTTTATTCCTCGAAACACACAGAGAAATATAACGGTGCAACTGATAGCCAGGCTTATAGTCAGAGGCACTCGTATACTTCCTATGGTTTCTAGGCCATCTGTCATCTGCAAAACCTGAAATCTATAACAAACATTAGACACCTACGTTATATATCGTCAGATTCTTGGGTGGTGTCATAAAAACATCTCCAGTATGCAGTTGACAGAGCATCTGACCAGAGAATGGAAGGTCGGTGGTTCGAACCCCTGGTCGCGTTTTGCCAAAAGATGGTACTTGTTGTTACACTTATTAGCGCTCTGCATTACGAGGATATAACAAGGACTGATCAGCCCAGAGTGTGTCTGAGTTGGGTATCCATGCATGTTAAACTGCGACATGGTCGCTTTGCGGGCTAGCACTATAAAACGGTGTAATAACAAGCCAGTAAAAATACAAGCTACAACACACACGTGTATGTACGTTGCAATATAAGTTCAATAATCTTTGATGTTAAACCCTTCTTTACCATGTATCTTTTACTTTACCTGTAATCAATTACATCTTGCAGAAGATCAAGACAAAATACAATACATCTTCAGTGCATTGAGAAATGAGAATGCAAACGGCAGTTACCTCCAGAACTCTTCCTCCGCTGTCATCCCAGCCACTGTGCCATTGATGTCTGCATAATGGTTGCCCACGGTGTAGCTGGTACCGTTATCGGTCACGTTGAGCCCTGTCGTTGTGTTGACATCAGCATACTGGGAGATACAGGTGGGAGTGTTCCAGTCATTGTCGCAGTGAGCCCAAGGTAGGGAATTGGAGAACGACACGTAGAAGTAGTACACGAACCATGTAAAGATGACAATGTAGTACGATGCATGAATCCAAGTCCCAACAACGGTGCCAACACCTATACCTGTTGGAAAAAAATATGCAATTACATACTGCTTTTTTCGTTGGGCTGAATCAATCTTGTAAAGCTGCTTATCGCCGACAATACTAACCTTGTAATCGCCACAGTTTCATGGACAACTTCGGAAAACGGAAAATTCACCCGTGACATTGATCGTGTCGATTATTTTGACGCAAATGTATGACGCCACTGTCGCTGACTTACTAAGGCAGCTCTAAACAGACATTTTTCATCTAATGGTAAAATTATTTAATCTTTTGGCTGTAACCCTACTCCAAAAGATGTTACTGTGGAGCAATGTAAGCATGATTGTGTTTGTGACGGGTGCTACCGGTGGGGCAGGATGTGTTCACCTTTTCACAAACACCTGGGATCATCACAATTTTATAGTGATTTATAAACACATGCTCATGATATCGTCGGATACTCTCCCCGATACAGCCGGTTGTTATGTGTCTGTCAGTGTCAGTACTACACATTATAATTGTGAGCAGACCTTTTGAGGGATGCACTGTGAAATTGACTTATTTTCTTTGAGTTCATTTCAGTATGAACCTTCAGCAAGCCGAAACCGTTCCTACACTTTAACCCTCACTCTTTGAATGGTCATACTCCAATGATCTCCCACAAAGTGAAAGTAAATTCCTAAATAAATCCACAACGAAAGCCATACTGTTTTTACAATACATTTTTAAGGATTATGAGATGCAATTCGCACTTTAATTGTATTCAACCATATAATTCCAGTCACAGAATTCAACATTAATCTCAGTGTCTGATGTCAGCCGAAGATGCAACATGTCATAGACATCATGTACTCTGTACGACACATGTCATACAGTGTAGACGTGTTATAGGACACTCCTTGACAAGTATGAATACAGCTTTGACCTTATGAAAACATAATGTGGATGTTACTTGGTACATGGCAACCGCGTAACTTTAACATTACTGACACTCACTGGAGACGTTGGATTATGCAATATATGGTTATTAAAGTAGTTGGATTATGCAATATATTTATGATGCTCATGACAGCCTCTGGCTCGCGGTATGAAACCTAACGCGGACATAAAACCCAATGTACCCCTCATGATCCTGATACAACTTATAGTGTACTTAAATATTCATTTATATATTCTATTCAGTAATTTAACTTCAAATATCTCCCTTTTATGACCTAAGAGAGAGTGAATAGTGGGTATGGTTTTATGCAGGCATTAGCAGTAGCTCAGCAACATCACGACAGTGGACACCAGAAATGGGCTTCATTATCAGTATTCATGTAGGGAATCGGACCTGGTAATTAGTTTTCGGGGTTTAAGGGTGAGCAAATGAAAGAGTGACAACTTAGATACTATTTCAGATTCAAAGGAGTTGTGTTTGGAACCCTCCTCTATTTCCTGACAAACAGTATCTCATAAAAAATGCCATGGTGTCATCGTCCTCTATTCAGTGTGCAATGCCTGCGCAGTTTCTAATTTTCCAATATAGACTTTCCATGTACAAAGTTTTCTACTTGAAAACTAAGTCCAATGTGGAACAGGGACATTGTATGATTAATTTCTATATATGTGTCCCTTCATCAACAGTGTTACATGCACTTACCTTTAAATGGCGGGCACAGATTCCAAACTTCGACTGGTCCTTTTTGGGAAAACTGACCAATCACCATCTCCACAAACACAACAGGAATAGTACCGATGAATGTGAACAGGATGAAGGGTATTAAGAATGCACCTAAAATACATACAACGGCTATCAAAGTCGGGAAATATCAATTTAATTGTTGAAAATCTTGCAAACCTCGTCACAAAAAGCAATATTTGTGGCATTGGATTAGACGTTTTAGTTTTACTACGGTATGGATATCATTAGACACTTTTATCATGAGTTTGTTGTTTAATGCCGCACTCAACAATGTTCCAGCTCTATGACGGCGGCTTGTAAATAATCTATTCTGGACAAATTCAGTTGCTGAATTTGTGACAAACGATCCACCCCGTCGTAGTACGATCGTAAGCCATCTACAAAGTCATCGTGCTGGACCACCCGATCCATGAGTCGCCTCTTTCGACCAGAATAGGGTGCTCGGGACCAATTCTAACTGAGAACTAAGCCACAACAAAAAAAGTGTACAGTTCGCCTCAGGTGAAGATACCAATACATTCTAAATACAATGTGGTGAAGGGTTGATATTTAGTTTGATAATACCTCCTCCATTCCTCATGCACAGGTAGGGGAATTTCACGAAAGACCCCGAACCGATTCCAAACCCGAGGAGAGTGACGACATAATCTAGGTGGTGACGCCATTTTTCACGCATCATATCTGTCAAAAAGAGACATTCACATTTCAGTGCTAAGTAGCGACGGCATGCTTCCGCTTGTAACATATCGAAACCTGGACGAAGATAATTATATATTCCAATAGCATCATCTTTTGCTAGTTGAATGCCACCATTCGGTACAGGTACTCGTACATTAGTCAACCTCCTGATACTTACTGAAACGACCCTTGCAAGCAAGTGGTATTAATATTTCAGCCCTGCCTTTAAATATGAAACGTCAGCCCCACAGAATAAGTAACCAGTCTCGATGATCCGCCGATCTGATTTCCGTTGGGCGTAAAAAGACAAAATATCGGTGAAATTGACATGAATGGATCACTGAAAATCAGTGATGACACCAGGTGTTCGCGAATAGGGTAAGCATGTTCTGCCCTACCGGTAGCACCCGCCACTCATATTAGTTGCATAAAAAAATTAATTGTTGCATGTCGCCGCCTGGACGGTCTGTAAACAAAACGGACAATCATGTAATTGACCAGAAACTTCAAAGACACCTCAGCCCATTAACTGATTTACTCAAAGGGATATGTTACTTTTGAGTGTACAATTTCGGTGATTCTGCAGCTTATAAGTAAAGAAAAGTGTAAGAAGTGTGTTCGTTTTGTAACAAAGTAGGGGCGGTTGTAATGTTCTAAATGTTATAATATTTAAAATGTAAAACGTCTTCTACAGCACAAATGTCGTCACGTTTGGGAAGAGCCGGAAACGTGACGGTGTAACATAGTACTAGGGGGCAGTTTTAATATCGAAGCCCATACTTGACTTTTGTAGTTGATTCAACATAATTGATAAATGCTACTGAGCTTATCAAGTAAATCAGTCCACCAGCAGAAACATCGACCACGTTTTTATGTCAATTTAAAACGGGTCCATGCAGGAAGCAAAGGTACTGTAAGTCCCCATGGTCCCTTGTGTGGTGATCACCCTTCAGTGACTGACGATCTCTTGCCCATATTTATATTGTGTTGTAAACTAATACCTTCTGCTTTTAAATATTCTCAACTAGTTTTAAATCAAATCTGTGATATTCTAGTTATTGTACTGTCCATCGTTGACAGGTTTTTATTAATTCTACATATATGTATTATTAATGTACTTCTTGTCACGATATGGCTGAAATACTGCCGATGTGACATTAAATCTTAACTCACTCACTCACTCAATATAAAACGTCAACGACAGAGAATAACCATAATCGATTTTCCGACGAAATTTTTAAACGAATGCCTCGGCATGTTTTCGCGATTCTTCTGGACTGTGTTTTCCATTTCATCAACTGTACATTTTGAAGCGTCATTTTTTTATATAGTGTCAAAAACCTATTTATTGTTTTTGTTGTTTAACGTTGTGCTCAGCAATATAACAGGTATATGACGGTGCTCTGTAATCAATATTACGTCTGGACCATGGCATCCAGTGATTGACATCATAAGCATCGATTTACCCAAATGGGACATAATGACACGCATCAACCAAGTCAGCGAGACATCCTGATCCCGTTAGTGGCCTCTCGTAACAATATTGGGTTGTTAAAGACAAATTCTAACCCTGATCTTCATGGGTACAAAAGCTACGCGTAAACCAATCCTCTACTTCGTCGTTCTATGTTTGAATAAGTAATAAATACAACCGATAGAGATTATACAACACGTGACGATTTCCACAGTTTGGTTTTGATCTCCTGATCAAACCGAACCACGCCACACACGCTCATTATATAACGTAACGGCGTGTACAAGCCAAAAGCAGCAGTGTAATCAAGAGTGACAAAAGTTCATAAATACCTGCTGTAAGTGTATCCTAGTTCCTACGGCTGAGGCGTTGGGGTGTCTGAACCTTGTCCTCGGGCGTCTGAAGGCGATGTGCTGGGAAGACAGCGATCCATGTGCACATCACAATTTAAACGGAAATGTGAAGGAAAGTATATATGCTGCATATAAAAGTCATTCACCGCAGTAATACTCGGACAGACAGTTTTATTCAAGAAAAGGCGTGCGGCCCAAAGTACATGTACATACAGAGCGTGATTATGCGTAACACTCTTGACGTGAAGGTGCTGTGAGCTGAGGCATTTCGGAAATGACGTGGACTTGGTCTTTATGTCTACAAGTTCTATTCAAAGTTAATTCACTAAACGCATTATTATTTATTTATAATGTGTAGAAATCATCATTAAGAACATATGAAGGCATCGGGGGAAGATAGTGATGACCCACACATCGCAAATAATTTGTGATAATTATATTTTGTGGGTTGCCAGATACTTAAGTATCATCCAAAAGTGAGTTGTCTGCCCTACCTCATTGTTAATGAATTGCATCATCCCTATATTTATGACACGCCACATGCGTTTGGTACCATATCGGAAAGAAGGCGCCAGCCCACATGGACATGGCCGGTCACATGTTCACAGATGAAGACGTTTTGTGGGGAATATCTTCACAAAGTGATGATAATGACAGCACAGAGGACCTGCCATGCGAAGATTTTCAAGGAGAATCAGGAGCTGCTACTTCTTAGCATTTCAGTTGCACAAAATATCATTATTCAAAGCTTTTAAGACTTTTCGTGGTTTGTCATGTTATTTGCCAACCCCATATTTCAGTGGTTGTGATATCCCTTTGTCGCTATTACTGACAGACTTAGTTGGGTTACTGTTTCCAGTGTACATAAAAGTTAACGACTTGAGACCTGCGTGACGATTTTAAATGAAATATTCACGGAATTCTATTTTGTAATGCAAAGTTGTCAAAACAGGATTATCATGTTTTGTTTTGTTTTCTGCAAGGAAACTTGGAATTTTTCTGTTGGATGTTAATAAAGGTTATCTTTCAAACCTTTAATAGCACAACTCAATTTTATGAATAAATAGTAAAGCAATACTTTTCCATCTATATATTCTCATTTAAGTGTTTACTTATTATAGATCATTTGTAACTTTACAGGAATAACTGCAAATCAAATTTCTTGTCTACCTTTTGTATTTTGTTGTTATCAGTTGTTGAAGTTTTAATTCTGCAAATGAGATTTGTCGTTATCTTGAGTGAGTGAGTTGGGTTTAACGCCGCTTTTAAGTCAGAGTTTCAGAAGACAGCGATAACCCTCTGTATTTTCCAATGGTTTGAGTCTGTAAACATCTCAAATACATGATTTTATTAACATTTATTGGCTGCATCTTTTTTGTTAGTTTAAACATATATGTATTGTCGTAAAAAACATCTTCTTTCTTTTCCAAACTAATCATTCGTGACCAACTCGTGTTATTCCGGGACAAGCCGAATAGCGACTCGTGCCCCTGTCGTGGCCATTTTTGTGACCGGGTTCCGTCTCAGCGCAAACGGGCATACCTAAAACAATTGTCAACTAGTTGCGTAATGGTTCACATATATTTCCCCATATATTATATATATTTCAGATGCAATTCAAAGCACATCAGGACATGCGGAATTATACAGCATGATTGGACACATTTAACTGTGTATTGGGTATATTTTTAGATGCAAGACATAAGTAAAATCAAAAATTATTTCTGAGGGATTCTTTGACGAAGAACTTGAAACCATACGCGCATTCTGATTGGTTTGTCGTATTTTCGCACATAAAATTCATCGATAGGGGGACGAGCCTTCTTGCAGGTTACGGAAAGGGGCGAGTGGTGACGAATGCCAAACTAATTTCAATCCTTTTTCAGGCAACTCCAAATTTTTAAATGCGTTATCTCAAAATTAGTCTTTGTTGGTTATCACTCTCTTCCCCCGATGCCTCCATATGCAAATCAGGTCACTGGTGTCATGAAGAAAACACAAACATGATTGTAAATTTGTCTAGTTTTTCCCGCAGGTTCATTTTGCTTGGTCACCTTTTGAGTTTTAATGGAGTTGTTTCTTTCTGTCAAAATCATATATTTTCCGAGTCAAAGCGTTAGACTAGGCAACCACCTACATCGTAGATAAGAGAATCGTGGCACAAGTGCTCCCTCGGGGAAATGTATCTCGTTATATTTTTCTTGTCGAGACTGTTTAGGTGCATGGTCCCCGCGGGCATATGCATGTCACTTTCTTATTAGCTAGAGGCATATACATGTAGCATTCTAATGAAGGATATATGTTAAGGGCTTTCGGAAAACGGATGTGACATGACTATTCAGGTATTATGTTTTGCATGTGTCAGTCAAAACAATGGAACTTTACATAAAGATAAAGTCATGTCGTGAGTGAGTGAGTGAGGTGGGTTTAACGTCGCTTTGAACAGTAATCCAGTTATTATTACGTTGTGTCAGCTTAATATGTGAGAAGTGGTTATATATGTGTACCACTTTGGTGAAACCCACGATCACGGGTATGGTGCAGACAAACCTAGAAACATAATCGGGGCGAAACGGGATTCGAACCCACGATTGGTTTTTGGCGTGCCCAAGGGACGCAACTCTGCATAGAAAATTGCGGCACCACCCGTGCGTACACAGTAAGACAAACGACACACCAAACCCCAATTTCGCCAACAAAAATATAAAACGTCAATGCCAAAGAAAATACAGTATCGATTAGCAGACTAAACATATTCCATTAAGTGGAAAGGGTATGCATGCTCTGCCCCTACAGGTAGCAACCGCCATAAAATGTATATTACTTTCCTGACACAGCACAGCAGTACTCCTGTCGAGCGACGGAGGCATGTAAACAAACCGGACAACCAAGTAATGGTTGAGGATCCAGGTACTCGAGTGCCAGCTTATTTACCTCTGTACTCATTGTTTGATATTTAACGATGCAATTAGCAATTTTCAAGCTTAATCATTGCGGTATGTAACTTTGATTTCGTTGTTTTTTAACGCCGCACTCAGCAATATTCGAGTTATGACGGCGGCATGATATACTAGAATCAAGGCTCGACCAGACAAACCAGTGATTGATATTATGAGCAACGTTCTACGCCGTCGGGTACAAAGACACGCAGCCACTTACATCATCAAGCCATACAACTTGATCCGTTTTGTCGCCTCTTGTGACAAGCAAAGTACTATTACCTTAGGGCATTTTGGAACCAGAAATCCCCACGGGTTTTTTCCACTGTCTGAAGTCAATTTGAAATACTCAAAGATAAATTGTTTAAGCTAAAACCATTCTGTATTAAACAAATGATCAAACACTATGATGCTGTACCTACTCTTTCCTCTCGGTTTGCAGAAACTGGCTTGGACTCCTTCACATATAAAACACGAGTGAGTGAGTGAGTGAGTTAAGATTTATAGTCACATCGGCAATAATTCAGCCATATCGTGACTAAATCAAGTTGGACATTAATAATACATAAATATAGACATTAAAATCTGTCGACAAAGGACAGTAAAAACACTAGACTATCACAGATGTAGATTGTAAAACTAGCATATCATAATAAAATTCGTAACAATTCATAACAGTACACAATAAAAATGGGCTATAGATCACCAATAGCCAAAGGTAGGTCACCATACTAGGTACCATGGGGACTTACGATACTTCTGCTACCTACATGGTAACAAAACACGAGTGAAGCTTGCCCCGTTGCTGGTGAATTACATTGTGTACGGGTATACGGGTTTTGAAACAGAATCGTGGAAAGAATAATTATGCACATTTTGTAATGTAAACGGCCACTCATTGAAAGAGCAAAGTTAACCGTTCACAAATCGGCGCGACCTGTTTATCAAGCCCTGGTTGCTGAAAATAGCTGAAATGTATATGTTACAGTTAATGTGTAAAACGACTGAAAATTTCACTTAGGCTGTATACAACTCCTACAGATATAAATCATTTTACAAACTGAAAAATCTGACTATGTATTATATTATGATAACGAATTCCAAACATTTTGATGTTGGATTTCATCACCAGTGACTGATAGGATTAAAAGAAAACAGAAGTCAATGTATATGTTTTGGCTTCTAATCCTAACATAATCAAGACAATCCAATCATAATAGTCTACTGTGATGTCTCTGGCCCTTTTGAACTTCTTAATAATTTGTCAAATAAATGGACATATTTCAAATATTTGTAAATTGACTGCAAAATCTGGGCATTTTGTAAAGTGCCCAAGTGAATCACAGTTTATCATATAATTTGCATATATACATGGCACTGAGAACCAAACTTTTTCGATGATTTAAATGCTTATTCATGATGATGAAACATATACAGAATGCGTTTTTGCTGTAGTTTGTGATATTATAAGCAATTTCCAGCTTTTCAAGACGTGCAACACTGCGAATAGACTTACACATTGTACCAACGTGGGGAAGCGAAATCGGGTTTTCGGTGTGTGATCAGCTGTATCCCTTAGGCTCTATACACCACAAACCCACACCAGTGAAATTTATACTTTACGAATTCATTGTCCTATTAGAATGTGGAGAAGAAATATTCCTCGAGGATCTGTGTATGTTTGTTTGTTTGTTTGTTTGTTGTTTAACGCCGCACTCAGCAATATTCCAGCTTTTTGACAGCAGTGTGTAAATAATCTAGTCTGAACCAATCAATCCAGTGATGTACATCACGAGCATCGATCTCCCAAAGTCAGCGAGCCTCACCACCCGATCCTGGTAGTCGCCTCTTACGACAAGCATAGTCGCCTCTTTCGACAAGCATGGGTTGGTAAAGATCTATTCTAACCCGGATCTTCACGGGGCATCTATGAATGGCCACCCTGACACTGCAAACACGAAAACGTCGTTTTTTCCCGTATATGGTCATTGGACGGAAAAACGACGTTATTTGGACGTTTTCAAACCGTCGTTTTTCCGTCCAAATAACGTCGTTATTTGACATCGGAATTTACTGGGAGAGAACGATACCGTTAAGCTCCTCCCTTTCTTGATTGACACTGTCAATCAAGCAACAGCGTCTACCGGTATTTCTACCTTCTCTGATTTCATTGGTCAGTCCTCGAGTGTTAGATTACAGGCCCGCGTTTGACGCTGCACTCGAAGCGCTTAGCGG